CCTTTCTGAGAAAAGCAGTCTATGCTTTAATAGTATGAGGCTTTTGATAAAGCCATCTTAAACAAATGTATCCATGCAAATAAGGTATTTCCAAAGAAGTTTAGGAGGAGAGATGATATCGGTGTTGGTATCGGTATCGGCAGATACTCAAAGTTGAAGTATCGGTATCGGTCTCGGAAATCAAAAAGAGGTATCTGTCCATCCCTAGTCTGAATCTAATTATAAGGACGGCATTTATAAAATTTGTGATACAAAATGACCTTGATCATAAAACTGCAAGTAGCAAACAAAAACAAACCTCAAGTAATCAAAAGACCGTGAAGTCTGTTGCCATGTACAGACACAAAACAAGTCAATAACGTTCAGGTTTTTCGTATGTTCTCAGACAAGCTGGTCAGTTACATGTTTTTTATACACAAAATGCTGCGTTTTGTTCTATAGTTAAAGCCACTGTGTTATTTGCCTCTATTCTGATGCAGCAAAACTACAGTTTAGCCACATTTAAAAGTGAATTGGATGTAATTAATGTGGATTTAAGTCTTTAAATGTTCTGTTCTTTTTACATTATAAACATTTTATTCAATGCAATATCATTTTTGAAACATGTGTTGTGATTCTTGGGCAACACTTCAGTGTAGTTAGCTCGTATTAACTGACCATAATACAGATTTCTGTCATTTCTGCACCAGTAATTTTATTCATGGCAACATTAATTCATTTCATACATAAAGAAAAGTCCCTCACAGTTTTAACCATTACACAGAAGTTTTATATTTTTGACAACAGTTATAATTGTTTCACTGAGAGAGGACAAGTTCACACACTGATAAGAATCTATAGTACAGATTTACAGTTAGACATGATAGTTTGAAACAGTGCGTTTGTCCAGTTACTGTAACATAGAGAGGAAACACTTGCTGAAGTACATCATCCAAGATCTCTGTTGTTTAGAAAATGTAGTTTACACGTCACATCCTGAATGCTGAGAGTCCTGTTGTGATGGCAGGATCGGGACTGGAGGTGAAAGACGCAGCAGTGAACAAGGATCATATTTGATACAAGTTTAATACTGGGGCTGTCATAAATTCAGTTCTTCATAGATGTATTTTCACTTATTTTCAGTTAACTAATGAGAAACAAACAATAAAGAAATACCTGAGATATGTTTGCAGTAATTTTTAACAAAAAGGTTTACCAAATTTAGTGGGTCTTCATCAAAAATGTTCTGAACAAGAAAAGATAATTTGCCAATATATTGTTATCAGATTTGTTATCAGCCGGAAACATTTATTGCATTTTTGCCAAGAAGTAGATGGGAAAGTTGATACCACATCTCCGTACAATAAATATGAAATCTAGAACCAGTAGCCTATTAGCTTAGCACAAACAGGTAGTCTGCTTCTTAGATTGTCTATGAATATGTAAGAACCCTCTTTGATGTCACTCATAGGTTTCCTGAACAGCAAGATCGAAGCTCATCAGCAGCCACGCCCTTAAGTATGGAGAACGTTAAGCCTCAATACAATTTAAACAAGAGAGTTATATTAAAATTTGTCTCCTTCACAGTTGTCATGAACATGAAAAGTAGTTACAGAGAGCAAAACAGTTTTTTCCACCAGGCTGTAAACATGTTTATTTCTGCTGTGAAGTTGGACATTTTAACATGAGGAACTATGGGGAGTGATTCCCTCAAGTGGACATTCATGGAACTGCAATTGTTTTTGCCACTTCAGTGTTGGCTTCACTTTTCAGTCCTGAACTTGTAGCTTGGTTTGCTTTTACAGGCAGGTGATGTTCAAATTAATAAGTTTTGTCAACAATCCGTCCTTCAATCAAACGATCTCTGCTCATGTTTCGTAATAGTTTAATCGTCAAAATGTTGTGTCACTGCAGACAGCTGTAGTGTCGCGGTAATTTTCACATTGTGAAAGTGCAGCATTGTGGGATTGTTGGTGAAAAGTAATCTTTCATTCCTGAAGATGAAAAGGACACATATAAATACATATAAATAAAATTTGTCGGTGAGCTTTAGATGTTCTTGTGGGTGGACTTTTTCTACCATTGTACAGTCTTTGCTAAGCTGCGCTAACTGGTTGCTCCTTGTAGCTTCATATTTACTGCACTGATATAAGAGTGGCATCAATATTCACATTTATATCCTGGCAAAAGAAAAATTAGTACTTCCCAAAATGTGGGACTATTCCTTTACTCTTAAATAACAATACAGGTAGTGGTCTCTTAATAACAGTGTTGGTCAGGCTCTAGTCTTTGGGTTGAATCTCTGTTCTGGTTTGCAAGGGAAATTCTTTACTCAGATTTAAACAATCAGGAAGAACAGGGCTGGAAAGTTACTGAGCTGGTATGCAACAAAAAGACGTAAAACAATGTGTAAAGAAAATTACGGTGTCCCGTGCACATAGATTACACTTTAGTCCATTAAAAAGTATGATAACTGTTTGATTCATTTAAAGGAGTGTAACTGTTTTCAAGTAATATTCTGGAGGCAAGCTCTTCAGAGAGACAGTGTGTAATCCTGTGTCATTGTGAAATGGAAATCCCTGTTGGCCATCACTAGCTGATTTTGACCCTACTTGCTGCCAAATGTGTAATGATAGCTGAATCTTTGCAGAAAGAGAGATGGACTCCTTCCAAATGTCTTTGAGTAGCAGAGAATTACTACTATGAGAGTCACACTGTCTGTCAGATGACAGGCAGCACAGGATCTGAGAGGTGTTTTTGGATTTCGGCCAGTCCTGAGGTGATGTCCAGATTCCCTGGCAGCGAAGGGTAGCGGAGGTTTCCACAAGGCCTGGAGTTGGCCATGAGGGAGGACTTGACTGACGGCTGGGGCAGCTGTGGAACTAACCCTGGATGGGTGTCGGTTTCGGGGGTGACGGTCATGAACATGGTGTCATCAGACGCCACAGTCACATGGATGCCGCTGGACAGGGACTCCTGGGACTTCTTGGTGAATTTAAGGTCAGCCTGGTCCGAGCCCTTAAGTAAAGAAATCACAGAGGTCGAGACTTCAGTTTCAAAGACATTCATCTCCCTCTATGTTTGGACAATTTTTCCAAGTATTTCTTGGTGTGCTTCTGTACCTGTGTAGGCGTCTGGATTGGGGAAATGGGATACATGCTGTGCAGCACTGGAGTTCCAGCCCCGTACAGACCCGGTGAATCAGTAGAGAGGGTAGTTGATGATACAGTGCTGTAAGCTGGAGGTACAGGAGCGATCTGCCTCTGGAGAAGCTGCAGAATAACGTTGATGTCAGCCGTCATGCGAGTCTCTAGTCTGGGGAAGTTAAAGAGATGTTAGAGATGAGCAGAGGGAAGTTCATGCAACTGTTGAAGGAGGTTATCGCTAACACCCTTCAAGAATCTATGTTTAATACCTAACAATGGTTTTTATTAGCAATAAGTACATAGCATTTATATGTAAAAGCCAAATTTAAAATTACACAGCAGGGTGACGGGCCTCGTTCTAAGTTATAGAAGTAAGGGGTTAGTTATGCCGTGTCAAGATGTTCCTTTTTAAAACAGGTTAGTTTAGTAGGACATTACCTGCCTGGAAAAGGAAATATTGTGCTGCATTACCTCAGTGAAACCATGCAACCATTCCAAATAGGCATACAACGTCTTCATAAGCCTCCCTACTCCTGTTGCATCTGACCCTTACATCCCTACACCTAAACATGCAGCATACCTCATCATACGTCACAAAAAGTAAGAAACACAGGAACTCATTTTTTCCTAAAAGCAGCTGAGAATAATTGCACCTGTTGAGCTGTGAATGAAGGACTTCAAGTCGAGACTCGAGCTCGCTGGGCCTTTCTTCTGTGAACGGTGGTGGGTGGTATGAGTTGCGGACAGAAGAAGATCGCCAGGCGCGACTGGAAAACTGTGGTGACTGACGCTCCGGCCAGTATCCATACTTTTCGGGCACATTCAAAGAAGAAGCTGAGGAATGTATAAAGGCAAGAAACTGAAGATGAAATAGAACAAACTAAAGGCACACTGAGAAGTTTCGGCCTCTACTGGGATTGTCGAGTGTATTCATGGTCTTAAGATGCACACAACGCAACCAAAATCATGCGTTCAACGCCTCTAGGTAGCTTAACATTCAAGCCTGCATTAAAGCATCAACAGCAGCAGTCCATCGCACTGCTTTTTAAAACCTCAGAATTTGGGGCAAACACAGTATGTACGTCTATGCAGCACAAACTTCAATCAAGACTTGTTTTCATCTACCTTGGTGGCCCCGGTCCAGCACTGCATCCCGCCCCACTGAGGGGCCACTTGGCGACAGCAGTTGCACTACAGAGGGAGAATAGTTGGCATCTTCTGGAGGGTAAAGCTCTTCTTTGGCACCGTGGCAAAAAGATTTTTCCATGTCATCACTTGACTCGGAACACAAGGATCCACAGCTACAGCCATCCTCCCAGTGGGCCTGAGCAGGTGAGTGATGGAAGGATTGAAGCGGGTACGAGTCTTCGTGATCAATTCCATCTGCTCACAGGAAACATTTTCATCACTCAGTCACAGAATATTCTACTGAGGGAGCCAGAGAGCGTCTGGCATTTCTAAAACAACTTTAGAATAGCTAGACAGAGGTCCTTACTTTACTGGGGGGGACTTCTCTGGTTGCAAAAAGAAGTATAATTTAATGAAATCTATGAGGAAATTGCTCTACTTCTCATTCAGTGTTCTTCTTCAGAAAACATTTTTTCAATTAGTTTATGGTCTCGATTGGTAGTTTCACAACTTTTTAAACACAGCATGATGTTCATTTTGTAAACTGTGGCCCCCTTTAGTGAAAAGTACACAATAAAGTAGCTTTAGGGCGCAGCTACCTACAATTTGCTATTGTGTCACTAGTGTCTTTGAGTTCTCAGTGAGAGCTTCCCCTCCCTCACTACGTCTGGCTTTAAAAGAGCGAGACAGTGGTGGCCAAATTCCAACCTTGAGGCCTCAGAACGTTGGTCCACAGGCTGACATCGTGGTACCTCTGTCAATCTTTTATTTACAGGCTGTGTTCTTAAGTCTATATTTCCACCTTGTTTAAGTTTCAGAAACTATTTCAGCCCTTTAAGGATAAAACAAAGCTTCAGGATTTTAAATGGCCTATAATGTAGATCACCTTGTTTGCGGGACTTTCTGTGAACAACTTGTCAAAAGTTCTGCTTGAACATGGGATCTATAAAACAACAAACTTCTGTCACCAGTAGCAATATCTCACCTGGCCTAATTCGGCAGTCCAGAGAGTGCATTTTGTGCCTCGGTTTGTGTCGATATCCGCAGTCATCACCAGAATCGTCAGTTGTTATTATTGGTGGCACTTGATCAGCCTGATGATCAGACAAAAATACATGTTCCTCATAGAACTAAAATGACAGAATTGCACAACAAATTTAAGTTTTTCTTTAAAACCAACTTCCAAACGTACGTCTCTCAGGTCAAACGTGACCTCCAGGTTGCTCCAGAAGTTGTCCGCAAAGCTCGGGTAGATATCCAGAACCTCAAGCAGGTCGTCCCTTAGAATTCGGTGCAGGTCACAGTAGGTGATGGTGAGTACGTCAGCGTTGGACTTTCCTGGCTCGTCATACAGGTGGATAAGCTCACCAAAGATGTCATTACTTTCTGCAAGAGTATGAATGTTTTTTACTTGAGCGGGTGCTTTTTAAAGAGTGGATCTGGAACTTCTTTGAGTGCTTATTATTCTACGATTAGACGACTTACCTAATATGGCTACAACCACATCATCTCTGATGACCTGAATGGAACCACGTGAGATGAAGAAGAGAGAGTCCAGGATGTCTCCATAGTGGATCAGAATATCTCCTGGAGGAGCATGGACTGTCTTGAACCTCATCGCTAAGGCACGCAGACAGGCTTGACTGCCTCCACGGAAAGCATTGCAGTTCTGCAGCAGAGATCGGTTCAAGTGCAAACAGATGTCTGCCTGCAGAGACCCAGGGAATCCCTTCAACACCTGAACAAGGGAACACAAAACCATCAGCTATCAGAGACTAGACGTAAAACAGGAATGTAGAACAACCAACAGGTGTAAGAGCAGTTTTACCACTTTTGTCACTCACAGCATTCATGTCAATGCCATTTGTGTAGGACCAGGCGTGCTGAAAGTACTCCTCCAGCCTTTGGCGCAGACTACCAGGAATTTGGTGGAAGCGAATGAACTCTTTGACGCGTAGCATCTGGGTGTGATAGCGAGTCGTACCAGAGTACAGCCGCTGGATGATGGCAGATACGTTCCCAAATATGCTGGCGTACATGAGAGCTGATGGAAGCAAAACAGGACAAAAGATACAGGGGATTGTGTCAACAGCTTAACTTGTAGTTTTGTTTAATTGGGGACTATACCAGAATTATTAGGGGAGTTCAAAAGCAGTCAAATGATAAGAATCTGACTTTTGATGGAAGAAAACATAAGGATCTTTAATTTATTCTGACTCTAAATTATAGTTTGTGCAGAAAAAAAGCTTCAATGTGACAATCAAAAAGCATTCCAGTATTAAAGTTATTATGGTTAAATGTTAGGATTACAGTTAGGATATACCACCCATATCATCTTTAATCCTTTCCTTAATCCATCATTTTAGTTAGTAGTGAATCCATACCAATAGCTTCCATACAGTTTTACCAGTATTAGTTAACTCACATCCAATGACCATGACGCAGATGGAGAAGATCTTCTCAGAGTTGGTGTTTGGAGAGACGTTACCGAACCCGACACTCGTCAGACTGCTCAGGGTGAAGTACAGAGCAGTGACGTACTTGTCTTTGACTGATGGACCAGAACTGGAGTCGCTGTCGTTGTATGTCTTTCCTAGCTGTTCGGCCAGGTTGTCCAGCCAGCCAGTCTCCGTGTACGGCCTCTCCACAAAGCCAATAGCGTACCAAATGCAGGCCAGCCAATGGGCGATGAGCACAAAGGTGCACATGAGGAGAAAGAGGACGGCAGCACCATATTCAGAATATCGGTCCAGCTTCCTGGCCACACGGACCAATCGCAGCAGGCGAGCTGTTTTCAGTAGGCTTGTTAAGGTGGCCATCTTTGGTTTACATTAACAACAGGGAAGAAGATGTCAGGCAGGGAAATGGTCAGTCACTAAAAACCATTTCAGAAGTTTAGACACTTCGAGGACAAGTGTGTAGGATTTAGTGGGATTTATTGGCAGAAATGAAACACAGCTGTCATAATTTCAGAATTTACTTTTCATCTGTGACTATAAAGTGTTGTGTTTTCGTTAGCTCAGAATGAGGCCTTAATATCTGAATTGAAAGCAGATCTTTTCCAGAGACACGTTTCTACACTGTAAAGAGACAAACTGTAAAAAAAATAAAATAAAATAGTTTTCATTTTCCAGCAGCTGGTGCACCAAAAAAATACTGCAAAGATAAAAAATGCTGTAATTTTCCACAACTATTTTACATTTCGTATAGCCTTAGTTTTACATGGGATCATGTGTACTTTTTGCCTTTATATTGTTTAATGCAGGATGTTTACATGTGTGAAAAACATTGAAATTAGCCACACCATGGACAGAGAGATCGACGATATGTATCATGATAAAAGTCTGACAGATTAATTTTGACAGATATTACTGGTTCTAGATATTATACACTGATGAGAACTTATTGATTTGATTTGTTAAATTTAAATCTGAATATTTATGGTTGTTCACTGTTGCAGGATTTTAATGTTATTTTACACTAGATGTGTAAAGTCCCAATATTTATTTGTAATTTTATTTATATATTTTTTTGTATTTCAAAAATATGGACAAAAAAATCAGTAAAATAAAGAGAAAACATCTGTAAATTTGCTGATTTTTTATTAATTTTTTTTGTTGTACAGTGAACAGTAGCAAAGACTGACTCTACGGAGGGTGTTTGTCGTTTTTATGTTAAAGTGGCAGCCGTCATAGATTCTAATACAAGCTTGGAAAGGGAGTGGATTCAGTTGGTTGCAATTTGCAACCTCACCACTAGATGCCACTAAATTCTACACACTGGTCGTTCAAGTTAGTTACAGCCCTAAGAATGATCTCTTAGAATCAATACAATATGAGCATCCTTTCTTCTGAAAAACTTCATACAGTTTTTGTAAAGAAGCAGATTTCTTACCTCATCAGAGCCGGATCTGAAAATGAGAAGGTCAAACGGGACTGCTGCGAACAGATCGATGGGGAACCAGCCTTTGATATAGTGCTTGGCTATCCGGCTCGGCTGCGTGACCACCTCGTCGTTTTGGTCCACATAGGTTGTTCGAAGGTTGATGACTATATCCACAATAAACAGCACGTCCACCAGAAGGTCGGCCACGTTCAGAGGGTTACACGTGTAGCCACAGCTCCTTTGACGTAAATCCCCGTGTTCATCCAAGAGGAAGGCGGCCGAGTAAGGAGTGAAAACAGCCGTGTAGAGGACCAGCAGGAGAATAATCCAGTCCCAAAAGGCCTTGAAGGGGCTGTAGTGAAGCAGGATGCACCATGTTGTCTCTGGCACCTCCAGTTTGTATTCAGGCAGCACATCAGACTCCAAAGAAAGTACCTGAACACAAAGGATCCATCAGTATGCAGTGATTGCTCCACAAGGAAATCCAAACATTTAATATACAATGGATTCTGAAACTCAAAACTAACAAACAGACTTTTCTAGAAGATGTATTGCTGCATATTTTGGTTTTGCAACCCTGAATGCCCGACAAATCCTTGAGCATCCTGTCATAGCTAACTCTCAGCAGAGTCAAAACATGAACAAAGGTTACATCCAGATAGTACAATTAAAAATCTTAGATAAAGTAGCAGTGGCCTCTAATCAAGGTTGCAGAAGCTGACTGAGCGCATATGACTGGTGGACTGAAGGGCTGAGTTCATATACAGCCACAGTCATCCGGTTTCTCTTTGGTCTGACATAAAGTTAATATTTGCTGCCTTGAAAAACCTCCCCAGCCATGCAGATAAATGGATATTATCTATCAGATCAGATAAATTATCAGATTTACAGACAGGAATCAGAAAGTGACACCATGCAAGGTTGCAAACTCCTACATCCGCCCTCCCACTGAGGCAGTGATGCAGAATGCTGAGCCTCGGGGGCTCCAGCGGTAACAACAGAATTGAATCTGAATTGAACTGCAGCTCAATGTAGCTTTGCTTTTTCACACCCACAAGGAAAACATCCAGCCACCAACCAGCTACTGATTTTTCCAGCACCAGTGGGTTAATTAACGGCAGTCGTCCATCGTGGCACCAGTGTGGGAGCCTCTTTATTTCTTAGTAGTCACAACACTGCCAGCTCTTTAACGACTGACCGAACCTAACTGGCGGTAAATGCATCACAAGGCATCAGGAGGCATTGGTGTTGAATGACCGAGTTCATTCACTCAGAGCTCCATAATGGGACCCCCCTGGCTCTCACACAGCCAGAGTCGGAGCCCATGCGAGGTCCTCGGCCCCCCGTACCTGTGTGACCTTCTCTGTGACGTTCTGAGAGCGGTCCTTCACCTTGGAAGGGCTGAGCAGCTCCATCCTGGGGGTTGGAGGCGAACGGCATTCAGGGCTCCTGATGGCTGGTCCCCCACTCTTCATAAGGTCCGAGTCAGACATGAAGCTCTGCTGGCCTACACATGATTGGGAATCACATTGTTAATCATATCTAAGCCAAATACTTCCTTTGCAAGGATCGATTTTGGAATATTTTCTCCTATTTTGTATTTTTTCATTCATTTTCTGGAATGAAATTTAACTTTCTACAACTATGACTACAATTATAGTCCTTAAATCTGGAAATCTCAAAATGCATGCAAAAAACAAACTTCTTGGTGATGTTTGACACTCTCTGCTCCCCTTTAATAAGTTTCTCTATGCCAGGATTTCCCAGAATGCACATCTAGCTGTGCCCCTCCCAAACTTCTCTACCCTCAAATACTAGATAGTGTCGATACTTCACTCACAAGTGCGTAGGGAATGCAGCAGAAAAATCTCAATAGTTGATGAAATTTTCAATCAAGCACCGCTAAAAGTATTTAAACCCAACCTACCTGATTTGAAACAGAAAGTCAGATCTTCGTTGTCCACTGAGCCATGACTTAAACATCCATCCGTCTGAACACTTTTTGGACAAACGCTTCACATGTCGCGCTTCATATTCAGGCTGAACAAACAGCTGTTTATGTCTGTGTGGCTGCAGATGTCGGGGCTGAAGCCTCCACTCCGGCTCAGAGCAAACTACTGGGCTGCAGCTCGCATGTTGGCTGTGCAACATTGGAAACCAATCGATGCCATGCTATAGCTGAGAGGAACTGACAGGAAGATCGATGAGGAGCATCAGTTCAAAAAGAAAACTGGCTCAGAGTCACTAAACTGGACTTCCCCGTTACCATCAAATTGTCATTTCAGTGTTCTTGTAAGTGGTTTGTTTTGGTAGGATCAATTAAAAACATAGCTCCGGCTGTGACATACATGAGGTTGTGTTGTGAAAACTGAAAGTCAGCCGCCTAATGTATGGCAGCCGCTCAATATGTTGCATGCATACTGTTAATGTGGGACCTTATTGACTGCACTGTTGACACTATGGTGATATGGGCGGGTAATGACCTGTGATGACATTGGCTTAAAACGTCCTTCAGCTTTAACCTTTCTCCATCTGTACTCCTTTTGTCTTTAAAAATAACATATTTACTGTTTGTAGTTTCACATCAACACGAAGAGGCGGAGGCCGATTCTGTTGTGAGTAAAATCCAAGTCCTGTTATATTCAAAGTACGACCTGCAGGCTTTAAGATGAGAAGACGGTGATCACCTCCTTCTGCTAAAGGGGAAACGTTTTAGCTGAAGACATCTATAATCAAGCACAAATTTGTGGCAACCCAACTAGCTTCAAAGCAAAATCATGATCCAGCGAGCCCACAACGAGAAAACACTGGCATATTTGTAGATTTTGGATAATGACACAGAAGAATCGGATGCAGTTTTAAGGAGAGAAAACGTAAACACACACATCAGACACAAAATACCACTCAAAGCCGAGTATTTTATATGTCTGTCATGTTATTTTCAGTTGCTCTTTATTAGCACATAACCGCTGTTTCTTTCCTCAAGCTGTAGTTTCACTTTGATAGAACATTTTCAGTGTTGTTTTAATGATAATGTTTGAATTATTAACACCTTTTAAACAACTTTTAAAGACCGACTTGACAAACTGTGTTTGTGCCGCAGACGTTATTTCACTCAGAAGAAGCATGTTTGTGAGAGCTTCTTGAAACTGTGGGGAGGTCCTGACGGGAGGTGTTGACAGCGGTTACAAAACCTCTGTAGACAGCATCAATACAGCCAACACTCTTAGAATTATCATACTGATAATGTCTGATGAAGTAGTTTCAGCACCCACTGACGAACAAATCCTTCGCCTGTGAAATCAAATATTCCACATGTGCGTGTCCACCAAGTGTCCGGTCCAGAAACTGGCCTCAGCTGTGAGCCTCGATGTTGTCCCACACTCGAACTACCTCTGGAAAGTCAGTGAGCGCTTCTATTAGAGTCGAAGCAGCATCCAGCTGCTCCTCGTCCAGAGACGAGTGGTTACGGGGAACATACTCCAAGCCAGCAGACATAATCTGCATCCCCAGCTCCTTCAACGAGGCCCGGACCTTATTCAGCTCCGTCATGTCGCAAATGAACTGAGGAGAGAGAAAGAGATCGAGCTGTTAGTTGAACTGTGGTAACTGGCTGTTGGTCATTAAGCATTTAGTCAATGACGTGGGGAAAAAGTGAAAAATATCTCATGATTTCACAAAAATCCAATACAAAATGTAAAATGATGCAAAGCAGAGGAGAGAAATGAGAACAGTGAAACAGAATTGTTGATAGATGATGTATTAGTTCTCAAATGTGGTTGTGATGGATCCTTCGTTAATAGGTCAATTGATTGTCTTTCAGCGCTGATTTGCTGACATACTGCTCTGTTACTTATGTCTATCAGAGAAATGTTACTTCAAAATTAAACTGTACAGGGCCTGATGACAAGAAATACACATATTTTAGGGTGACTGGAACATCTGTCCAGTAACTATGAATGAATAAGAACTTTTTGGCTGTGATACATTTAAAGTACTTATTAATGTGCAGTGTTGCTGTGAAATAAACCAACATGTTTTGTATAAACGAAAACACAAGGGAATAATAATAATAACAGACACTGATGAACAGCAAAGTTGAGCAACTTCCATCTGTCCATCATCTATACACCGCTTAATCCTCACTGGGGTCATGGGGGGCTGGAGTCTATCCCAGCTGACTCAGGGTGAAGGCAGGGGACACCCTGGACAGGTCACCAGTCTATCACAGGGCTACACTTAGAGACAGACAACCAAGCACACTCACATTCACACCTGCAGACAATTTAGAATCACCAATTAACCTCAGCATGTTTCTGGCTTGTGGGAGGAAGCCGGAGAACCTGGAGAGAACCCACGCTGCACGGGGAGAACATGCAAACTCCACGCAGGAAGATCCCGGGTGTCCTCACCGGGACAAACCGGCGACCTTCTTGCTACCAACTGTGCCACCTTGCAGCCCAGTTGAGCAACTCATTTTTTGAAATTTGTGCAGAAAGGGATTTTTAAAACGTGTATGTGTCTGGATTTTAGAGACAGGTGGTTTTTGTTGGTCAAGCGTAGTAGGAAAGGCATCTATAAAGAAAATGGTTCTTTAGAAACCACAGCAGGATTATACTAACTTTACATTTTGGGTGACTGGACAAAAACTGCAACATGAGAAGATTTAAAAGGTTTCTTTGCATCTCAACTTCTGTATCCCTGTGCGTGTACTCTTTCATTATGCTAACCATCGCTCTCTGACCTGCAGTAAAGGCTTCTCCTCCTCATCCTCAGTCTCTTGGACGTCTTCAGCTCCCGCCTCGATGGCCAGCTCCAGAGCTCTCTCCGTGGAGACGTCCTGACCCGGCACCACCACCACGCCCCTCTTGTTGAAGCTGTGCCGGGCTCCGTCTGACAGCATCCCTCTAACGGTGAGAACACAATTTCTCATTTCATTTCTTCTCTTATTTGTCTTTTGTATGTTTATTTTTCTTTCTGAAATCACAGTAATGTATTGTATATAGCTGATCAATCAAAGCCTAAAGTAAAAAAAAGTTCAGATTCTGCAGAAATTATAAGGTTTGAAAGAAATACTGTCTTTAAAAAGAAAATAAAAACTGCAAAATGACAATATTTAACCACTTATCAGAGCTTGAAACTGTACAAACAGAAACAATCCCTGGATTTTAAACTTTACGATGGTCCTTGAACTACCCACCTCTTTCATCAGGAATATGAATCTAAGCTTGAAATGATGATATTTCATCAAAATCATTTTATTCGTCGTGTTACATTTTTAAAAAATCCCCCAAAATAAAGTGTTTGCAGTCTTCACATTCTGTAAAAAGCCCCTAAAACAATCTGTGCTCCTCAGACACACGGCAAGAATTCCCAGATTTTGTTGAATGAAAAATGAGAGAATTTCAACTTTATTTTTTGCTTTTTTGAAGTTTTCTGGCAGAATAACTTTAACAGAAGACAGTTCTGAGTTCTCTCTACTTGTCCCGACTTTTGATCGCAGTGAAAAATGAGGTCACGGTAAATAAAAATGTGAAGGGACCCAAAACCTACATGGAGCTCAGAGGGTTAATGTGCCTTTTTTTTTGTAAGTTATTTTTTTGGCCTTTCTGACAGTATTATATAGGACAGTGAAGAAAGAGACAGGAAAGTGGGGGGAGAAGAATGGAGGAAGGACCTGCAGCAAAGGGCCACGAGCGGGATTCGAACCCATGACCGCCGCGTCATGAACTATAGCCCCTGTTCATGGGTCGCCAGCTCAACCAGGTGAGCTGTAGCAGTGGCCCAACATACTTGAGCATACTTGACTTGAGCTTAGTTATCCAGAACTTCAGGTCATGCATGTGGTCAGGCTGCTGGCTGCCCTTTTTGTTGTTCTGATCAACTGATGATGATCTGACTGCTGTCAAAGCCATAAATGCCTCCCTGTCGCAACAAGTGCAACATACTGTAAATATACAACTCCACTACCTCTGTCCAGTATCCACTCTGTGCAATATGCACCATGCTCATTATTTAATTTCATCTTTTTATATAGAGTTCTTTTTTTGTTTTTAATATATATATATTTCTTTTATATTGTATATAGTGTTTTACAAAGTTTTTATATTTTTGTTTTTTGCACTGAAAGGACTGCACCTTGCTTTTCGTTGTACTCGTTACAATGACAATAAAACAAATCTGCTCTGACTCTGATGATACTGGTATGTTTACAACAAGGCAGTCCACTATCCTGTTAGTCTGCTGTATCTACTGTATGTACAGGGACATCTAGTGGTGACTATCTTTTGCCCAGTAGCTGCTGCACTGACCTCCATCATCAGTACACCGCGACATTCTTTGCATTCTTTCCCTATAACGTCCTGTATGCATGATCTGTGTACAGTTACACTGCCGCTGATCTGAAACCTGGATTTCCCTTTAACGATCACTTCATCCTATTTGAACCCCTCCAACGCTGTGTAATCTTGTTTTATTTGATTACTTCACCGTTTAAATTTTTCCCCAGTTGTGTTTCAGACGCATTATTGAGGCCCAGATGTGTTCAGCTATTTCCTTCAGACTGGGTAAATAGTATTTGTGTACAACTTTGTGGCCAAGTGTCAGATTTTTGGGATGCCGCTCGACTCCAGTAGGAAAAGGGCAATAACACAACTTTTATCTGTTTCCTCCAGCGTGTTCCTGAAATGGCTGATTTTTAGTATCAGGTACGTTAGCACATCAGTCGTGTGGTCAAATAGCATGAAAACGTGTCTTTACGACATTCCAGCGACATACCCTTTCTTGGTTAGCAGGCGTCTGACGTCCTGTTGGGTGCGTGTGTTGTTGTCAGTCAGGACCTCGATGAGCAGCAGACACCCACCGGGCCCCCGAGCCTCGTACATGTGCTGCGACACTGGTTTGGCCTTTTCCTGCAGAGCCAAGAAAACACATTAGTTTCGCAACAAAAGTGTGAAATTAATGTGTTTCCGTCAGTGTGTAATGTCAGTAAAGTCAATAAGCATTGCTAGTCACTGAAAAACTGTTTTCTCATCATCATGTATCGTTTGTCATATATATGTATATCTGTATTATTATAACTTAGGTCATTTCATTGCTTTACACATGAAAATATCCTTCATTAAACATTTAAAAGCAAAGCAAAGAACGATCTGATGTAAAATAAAGACATGAAAAATGTGTTTAAATTATAGAAAATCATTCACTTCTGAGATGGTCATTTTAGCGTTTTGTTTGTTTTTTTAGACAATAATGTCTCCTAATAATCTGTTCACATTCTCAGACAGGTGATAAATTAACTTCTTCTTCATGCCTGTAGCAGAGTCTTGAGGGAGCACTGAGGTTTTTTCATTAGCTTTTTTTTTACCCATTCATGTGTGAGTGTGTTGGGAACCTACCGCACTCTTGATGGCAGCATCTACAGAAGCTTTGGGCATGTTCTTGCTCCGGCACTGCTCCAGGATGTGGGCCAAGTTGAGGTTCAGGTCTGGGTTGGATCCACCTTCTGCAAGATGAAAACCACAACTCAAGTTCAGTCAACAAGAAAACACCTGAGCTGTAAAAAAAAAAAAAAACAAACAAAAAAAAAAACAAAACTCAATAATAAACCAAACTTACCCTTCACAGCCATTTTTATCAGCATACCGAACTTATTGAACATCTTGCCCCTCGCCTCATCTTTGGGACCCTTGATGTGCTTCACCTTCGACCACTTGTTGTGTCCTGCGCAGGAGGCGGAGCTCAGCAGCAGCGTCCTGACGGGGACAGTCCTCCACACCGGGCACGGCGCACCGGAGGCCGGCGGGAGGACGGAGTCTGGAGCAGGAAGCCTAATGGAGGCTGCAGCCAGAGCCGGGGGACGGAGGGTCCTCAGAGCCCTGAGCAGCGCCGGAGCCGCCATGTCCTTCACACAGTCAGTGAACACACGTTACTGTCACCCTGCTGCACATGCGCACAAACACTGAGCTTGACAGACAAACAGAGTCTCCGTCAGCAGAGGAGACCTAAACTTTACAACATTTAATGTTTTACTGGGAGATAAAGGAGTAAAACAGCCCCAAGTCCTATAACTTACAGTCAGGAGAGCAGCTGCTGCTGTCCTTGTTGTCAACCGGCGCTTCCTGCTTGCGGTGACGTAAAGATTTCGCCTTTCAAAGTAAAAGCGCTTGTCTAAAATATTATTTTGAAATGACGCTTAAATTTTACATAATTAAATAAGCACTTCTGGCCTGTGTTTAATTTACTTTGTTTATGAGTCCCTAATTAGATTTGACTAGAACAAACAGATTTTTTAAAAATCCCAACATTTATTGTTATTGTTGTTGTTGTTATTGTTGTTGTCATTATTGTTACTGTAATCATGATTGCAGTATGTTTTTGGAGGACCACAAGTGTGCAGCACTTTGAGACACTGGATATGGCTTCATCAAGCTGTTAAAGTGACACCATTGAGCCATTGTCCATTTTAGTGTTGGCATCCCTGTGTCCAGATGTTCTTTTTAAACCATCCCTGTCACTTTTTTACAGGGACACCATCACTACATCTGGGGCTTAGCGCCCCCTCAGAAAATTGTGATTTCTTTAAAGAAATACAAATAAGCCAGAATGTTTGTTTCCTCTTATAGCTAAGTAATAGTGATTTGTTGTTTCCCGTAGTGAAGAGATTTTAAAAACAGCGACACTCAGACCGCGAAAGCAGAATAATCAAGTAAGACTCGATCAATTAAAAAACATAAAGAATGACAGACATTTTTAAGGACTGGTTAAAACTGGTCCACATTGAATAATCACAAACTTTGGCATAGCTCCTTGTCTAATAAATCATTTCCCTGTGTGTTTTATAGTTGTATATTTTACCTCGTACATGTTCTTCTATAGTTTTCATTTTCAGCTTATGATATATTGCATGTAGAAATGTGAGATAGATCCTAAGCCATGGGAACCTTAACTCGCTATGAGGACCTCTGGGTGTCTCTGATCGAACCGACTATGAGTAGACCACACAAAACAAGTGTAGCTGCAAGGGGCTCATAAATAACAACAATAAAAGCCAAAATATTGTATATGTTTCCCATGTCATTTACATGTTTGTTAAATCTTGTTGTGTCAAGAAGGTTAGTTCTACAGACTTTAGGGTCTGTCTCATCGGCATAAACAGAAGTCATGGAGAGTCTGGTCTGCATCACTGTCCTCTAAAATGTCCCAGCGTGGGAACTGGAGGAGAAGTCTTGTTGTCCTGCCACGGAAGAAGTATTAAATCATACTGCCTCTATTTATGACGAGTATAATAATAGGCCGATGACCCACTCTGAAGCCCAGGAACATTGATTCAAAAACCAGGAACGTACTGTTTGTACTGGATTCTTGAACAACACATGTGTGGACTCAATATGTGCATAATTATCAAAGGGATAGTAAAATCTGAGAGAGTCCTGTCAGTGTGGTTCAGAGAAACTGAGTTACAGCAGACAAGTGGAAGAAACAGCAAACAGATGCTCAAACAGGATGGTGAGCAGAGACAGATGAGCACAGCAGAGGAGCACAAAGAGTTAAATGAATGGAAGTCACAGCCAATCAAGGCCAACCCATCTCAACCCAACAGCCTGAAGAGCAGTAAAAGGAGGAGGTTTCCTCCACAGGGCTCCTCTCTTCCCTCCACACTGACGCCTGCATGCTCTCTCAGACCTGATCAGGAATGACCACTGAGCTTCAAGTAGAAGACCGGAACAATCTGACACTTTTAAAGCATCTTTTCTGGGTGATAAGAACTTCTGAAGCTCAGGAAGATCCTGAAAGAAAGCTCTTACTAACTGATAAAACTAAAAATAAGCACAGAGGAAGCACTGATGGAACAGCAGAGAAGAACACAACCTAAATGTGGGACACAAGTTCCTTCAACACAACCTGAGGAGGACAAAATGATCTGAGGGGAGTCGTGTGTTGTTCTGTTTAAGCCGACAATCGAAAAGACGTCATGCTGTCTGCGCAGGGAATCGGTGTTCTGGCTGTTTTCCACAGTGTCTTAACAGCTACTGCCCTGGTAAGTGTTGTGTATTTATTCTAAATATTTGAGATGTTAATTACCTAATTTATTGGATGAGTCAAAAAAAAAAAAAGTTTTTAGTTGAGTGACAGAATCTTGATGTACTCAAGAAGGAAAACTTCTTTTTTCTGCTTTGCTTTCACTTTTAGTTGCTCAAATAAACAGAATTCAAACAAAACTTTAACTGTTTTTATTTCCACAAGTATTATTTGCACAAACATAAGCTTTTTCAGAATAGATATTATTTATTAGGAGTAATAATAATCTTCTCCCATTTCTGCTGACAGGCTGGTGAGCACAGCAGAGGGTCAGGTCTCAGTCAGTCTCTTAGTCCAACAAAGGATGAATTTTATGTTCTAAATTTAAACTTTTCACACAGTAGCATCACATCTTACACTTAATCACGACACTGAGTCAGAAATAACGCTCTCATACTGCTGCACTATGGGCCAAATGTAGAAAATATCACATATCTGCGAGCCTCTTTGATCGTTTGAATTTTGGACTTAGATTTATCACTTGCTGCAGGAAATGTGCCAACGATTCATCAGCAGCACTCAGTGGTGTCATTTTCCTTTTTCTTTCGCAAAAAAGAAAAAAAAGGGAAATGAAAACACTTTTTCTCAGCAATCCTTTCATTTTTAATTTACAATTTTGTGAAGAAATAGACAGTTCTGTCCTGTTTCTTCTATTTTTACATATCAACTCTGTGAAATTTTCAAAATAAAATCAACCTAAAAAAAATAATAAAGCAAAAAAATATGGTCGCTTTTTTTTCTTTTCTTTGTGCTGAAGAAAAATAATTATCTAAAACCTAAATAACAAAAAGTAATCTCCCCCCTGAACCTAATAGCTGGTTGTGCAATCTAAAGCAATAACTGCTACCAAACACTCCCAATAAGTGGAGATGAGCCTCTGACATCAGTGTGGTGGATTCTGACCCACTTTTCTTTGAGAGAATTGCTTCAGTGCAGCCACATTGGAGGGTTTGCGTGCAGGAACTGTTCTTTTCAGGTCCCTATGCAGCATTTTAATCATGTCCAGGTCCAGACTTTGACTAGACCACTCCAAAACTTTAATTCTATTCCTCTGTAGCCACTCAGAGGTGGTCTTACTCTTAAGCCTGAGGTCACTGTCTTGCTGCATAACCCAGTTGTGCTAACTCAGAGACTGATGACCTTCTTCTTTTTTTGGTTTCCTCTCAATTATTGCAAAGCATCCCCATCACATTACTCTGCCACCTCCATGCCTGCCTGCAGGTATGAAGTTCTTTCTGTGGAATTCTGTGTTTGGTTTACATGTGACGGGGCCCCTGTCTTCCACACAGTTTAACTTTCCACTCATCAGTCTGCAGCACATTCTCCCAAATGGTTTCAAGGTCAGTAAGGTGTGCTGCGGCGCTTCATGGATCGTCTCCCATGGGTGCCATTTTTTGCGCTGCATCTTTCGGGTAGCCAGAATCAGAATCTGCTTTATTGGCGGAGCGTGCTCACGCATACAAGGGCTCCATACTTTCTTTATTCTGAAAGCAGTCACACAAAAAACACTCACGCATTTAAACAAGTGCAGCAGGTTTAAGAGAGCAAAATGTTTAGCTCGTATGTAGTATATGTGTAAAACGGCGTGTTTGAAAGTCAGATTGTGCAGATTGTAATGACACACTAATAAATACAGCTAATGACAGTGAATATAGGGTTATGAACTGTTTATTTAAGGGGATGACAGTGCAGTGGAGCAAAGAGTAGCATTACAAGAATCAAAATATAAACCAGTATGTGATTAAAAAAAATAAGTATTTAAATAATTCAGTTGCTTTATTGTTCGATGCAGCAATAAACAAATTATCACTGCAATGAAATTCTTAGTCCGCTGTGTCTCTATTGAACGCCGAGATTAAACCGTTTACTGACTCATTCAAACACAGTCATCAGCATCGACTGAACAGGAACAAGTGTCAAAATAGTACATATACACGTTGGTTTAGGGTTTAAAACTCAGGATTCAGAGCTGCAGTGATCAGTGTTCAGAGTCATAAACGCTGTTCCTTCATGTTCTCTTTGGATCTTTTGTGACTTCCTGCATGAGTCGTGGCTGTGCTCTTTAGAGAAGCGTGGACACCTCGACGACTCACCATTGTTCTGTTTCTGTTTTACTGTCTCTCACTCTGTGCAGCTGTAGAAATACATCTGGAACACTTCCTACACTTAGAAAAAAAAGAGAGAACTGTTGGACCAACTTAAAGATTCAGTTGTTGACGCACAATTGCATTAAGTTTTTTTAAATTAAGTTAACAATTAACAATTATGCCAGTGGTTTTAGGTTAGATGAACCTAAATTATGTGATTCTTTGCATAGCTGCAACTTGATTTTAAGGAAAGTCAACTTGTTCTTTCCATTTCTTCACTCTGTTATCCTACTCAAACAAAACAGCGACTGAGGTGCAGCAGAAGAAATTTCACTGATATCAGAATTCAAGTTTAAAGGGACAAAGTGTACTTTCAAAATAATAGCAAGCAGATTTATTTGAAAAGTGCCTTACTTCCACTACAGCTTTTTACAGTGTAGACTAATGTTTTTCAATCACATTTTCCTCGTCTCTTCTGGACTTTCTTTTACTCATAGTGTGCTAATGTTGAGCCAACTTCATCCTTCTAAAATAATCTGTTTAAGTGATGCTTTAACTGAGCAGAGCTGACAATAATTAGACCTGGGTGTGTCTAGTCCAGCTCTTATTTAGTTAGTTTATTAGATTTAGGGTGCAATATGTTTTCACGCAGGCCTATTTAGTACTGGATCACCTTTCTGCTTCGAAACATTCAATAATCATTTAAAACTTGTATTTTGTGTGTGTTGAGGTCGTCTTTGGTGTTTTGTTAGATTTAGTTTGAAGATGTGACGTAAACAGAATTTACACATTTTCATTTCATTTGCACATTTCCGTATCTCTCTGATATATTCTTGTAAATTTTGTTGACTCTCTTCTATATTATATTTTCTATATTTTTTATCTTATTTTACCTTCATTTTATACCCTACCTTAATATTCTGTGCTGTCTTTTGTCTTGTTTGCCCCCTTTGTTGAATGGACGTGCTGCTGTGACACCTGAATTTCCTTCTGAGATTAATAAAGTCAGTCTAAGTCTAAACCAGGAGGATGTCGATTACTTTTTTCACAGCACTGTTTGTCTGTTGTAGCTGTTTCCAAATGTAAAAGTCAAATCAGGTCACAGTGAAGTCTCTTGTGTTAATATAATGTCAGCATCAGGTGGAGTGACAGTGTGGGAGTAACGAGCTGCTATAGAAAGATTCTATGCAGCAGAAACCTGTGTGGGGGAAACAAACTATATATGAGGTATTTTTTGCAAATTCTCCTGAAAAACTCTCCCAACCAAGAAGGAATATGACTTAAAAAGTCAACACAGACGTCCACACACAGAACGGGTTTGTCCATCTGGTAGCAGAATGAGTAGATTTGAACATTTTATGAATTTGAATACTCTTAAATTGTTGCCACCAGACGTCAGAGCGACCACACCAGCCTCCACCAGTGGTGACTGTCATGTCCCAAGGTACAAGACTTCATCCTGTCAGTCTGCTCTTTCTGCAAAGGGGGCAAAGCTTTGGAACCCTCTACCCACTAATCTAAAATTAGAGGCCAACAGTAATGCTTTTAACAAAGGACTCAAACAATGGCTAAAATCAAAACAACAGCACTCACATGAATAGTTTTAGCTGGTTGATTGCTTGATCATGTTGCCTTAGTTTGTAGCTTACATATGTATTCATTCTGATAAACTGCATCTCTTTTGTAATGTTATTGTACGCTGTATTTCTCTCTCTCTCTTCATATTTCTTTTCATATTACTTTCTCTATTTTCATCATTTCAAAAGCCTCCTCTGGACGAGTGTTGCAAATCACCACATGCGCTAAAACACTGAAACAATGCATCTGGTTTGTTCGATGTAGTTGTGATGTCCACATCAAATAAACAATCAAATCAAATAAATAGATCTGTCACAATATGACATTTTTACTGCTTATGATAACCCAGTGAATTTACAGTAACAGTGTTACCCTAATGTCCACTGAGAATCTTTACTGAAGCATTTCAAAGTCAAACTCATCTTTGTTTGTTGTGTGTTTCGCACCTTTTTGTGAAATGAAATCATCTTAAATATAAGTGAAGAGAGACTTTAACCATGACCGTGCTGTATGTTGTTTCTATGGAGGAGTGTCCCGGATTATTTACAATACTCTCATATTACTAACATGATGCCCATATTTCATTGTTAAAACATCACGGTCATCGTCAATACCATTAACCATGACAGCACTAATTAGAGAGGCACTGGAATGTAAAAGAGGCATCTCCCTGACGGAGACAAACACCTGTAAAACCCACAACTGCTGCAGTGAACCCTACAGCCTTCAATCTCCTCCTTCAGAAATCACCTGTGGTCTGTTTTACCTCACAAACCTTTTAACCTTTCGCTCACCGAAGCATGACCCTTCAGCAACTTGACAGCAGCTCCCTCCCAGCCTCTTCTTAGGAAACTTGAAGGACTTCTTCTTTCCAATCTGCTTGTATTAAACTGTGCAGCAGGTTGATTTGCCGTGTTGATCTTTGAGGCAGAGTTGGAGGGATTCACCGTAGCCAACAAGATCGTGACTGGGAAACACACAGTTCAAAATACAACAACAACAAATGGTTTTAACTGCTCATCATGTCTGTGTTAAAGTTAACTGAGAGTCCCTCCTAAGACAGACCATTACAGGACGTGATAGCAGCTCAGAGTTCCACATTATTGGAAACACAGTTCGTCCTCTAGCAGTTTATTTGAATGGCCGGTGCCAAGAATGTTACTTATCACGTATCTTGTTACATGAATTGCTTCAGTTGGGATTTAGTCGGTTTAACAAGAGTGAAAAGTTTTCTTTAGCTCGAGGAAGGCAGCTGTGAGTCGGCTCCTTTGCTTAAACAATGTGAAAATAAAACTGCAGCTGCCTAATCGGATAAATATACAGAAACTATAAAAAGAGAAAAAATGTCCTGTGACCCCAAAACTCAGCAACCAGTTGGAAAAGCATGTTATCTTTATGAAATTGTTAGATTTAGCCCGTTTATTAAAGAATCATCAGATTGTCAACCTTTTGATGGAGGTGCTCATCTGTGATGTGCGTTGCTGTGACGAAACTCAACCAAATCTAAGCTTCAAATTGTCATATTTCACCAAAATCACTTTATTCTGCATGCCTCATTTTAAAGAAACTGCAAAAATCAATCACTAACTCTATCTAGATTCTGTAAAAAGCTTAAAATTCTCAGTGCATCCGTGAATCCCAGCTATAGTTGTCCCATTTCCATAGCTGTACCAGTGCATATTGAAAAATGCAAAAAAAACAAAAACAACAAAACACCCAGAAACTGTCTGTGGTTCAAAGGAATAACATTCTCATGTAGTTGAGAGGATTATCAAATGTTTCAAATGAATACATGCTGTATGAAATGGACATGTTCAAGCACAAGTTCTGCAAAACTTGACTTAGACACAGTGCTGTAAAGTCTCATTTGTAATCCCCTATCTGGAGAGAGGTCACAGGTTGTTGGACAAAGCTAAAGTCAATGAAGCAGCTCATTCTCATGCATGTTTTCTTCCTCCTGGACCCAACTTTTGCTCTGCTGTGAGCTCTCTGGTTGACTCGCTGCTAGTTTTTTGCTGCTCTGTTGTGAAATGAAACCAGGAACACAAAGCTTCTTGTGTAGACCGGCTCTCTTGTCTGCACGGCCGAGGTCCAGAGGAAAAGGTCCCCGAGTGGCCAGCGGCAGCCTCGCCGCCGGACAAAAAAGGGGTTGGCGGGGGATCATCACATACCACACCCTCACACAACTATTTCACAACACCTGGAGGCAGCACATGGGAGTGTTTGTGGCTGACAGATCATCCTGGTCGGACTTCAGAGAGGCTCTTAAAAGGACATTTTTATTATTCGTAGGAACCTTAACACACTAACAAATCTAAGCTTGGCAGATGCTCAGAGGAGCTGAAGTTCTTCATACGGGTCTTAAATGCAAATACGTTACATTGTTTATTCTGTTTATTGTTTATTCATTGTCATACCTGCTCATTTATCTGTTGTGTACCTTCTAAATTATAACACATATAGAAATTTAATGCATCCGTATGACAGCCTTACACGCTTTTCTTACTTCTTCTTCATGTCCTGCTCTTATTGACCTACAGATAGACTCGGATGACGTCATCACACGAGACGAGCAGATCTACGTTCTGATTGGTGCTCATGCCAGGTGTGAAAGGAGCATCCAGGCTCAAATGTCCCTCGTTAAAGGTTTGTGTTTAGTTTCTGGTCATTTTTTATAAAAGCCTCTTCAAGACAAAATCCCTAAAGGTGTATGATAAACTGTCAAAAAACAGAATCAAAATAAATATTTCTGTCTTCACAGGTGATCTAAGATCTAAGACTGAGAATATGTTAAAATGTTTTTCATTCTTTAATATTCAAAAGCTTTGCCTGTTAAATAACAACGTTAACTTTTCCACTGAGGTCAGTGAGTGCATGTCCAAATATACAACCAGAAATACCATTTATTACATCAATTATTTATTTGGAATCAGATATAACACCCATCCAATATCCTGCTGACCAGTATCTCTGTGATTACACAGTTGAATTTCTGTGCAAAGCGGAGCATTTTTAATTTGGACTCTGACGTAGAAGCTGATGTTAGATACGTTTATTCAGCAGGAGGAAGCTTTCATAAGATGCAGACGCAGTCAGAAGGACAAAAATCTGCAGACTCAGAGTCGGCTTCCAGTGATTCTCTACATCTAACCCGGACGCTCATGTCAGACCACATCCACAGTGACTCTGGTCTGCACAGATTGAAAATGTCATTATTTGACAAAAAGACATTTATCGCAATTAATTTGTTCCCCTTTTTGATTAGAGATCAAGACAAGCTTTATTTGTCACATATGCATTTATACACGGTACAATGTGCAGTGAAAAGTATTTATTAACAGCCTCCAGTTTCAATAAAATAAAAATAAAATAAAATTTACAAAAAATAATGTCATGTCCCTGGAGCCTCGGCCCCTGCCGCGCTCTCTCTCTCTCCGGCTCCCCAGCACGCAGGCAGGTGTGCCTGGTTACCAATCTGCTGATTGGTACGTGGGGATTGGTCCGCTCCAGCTGCGACCTCCGGTCTGCCGGTATTTCAGCTCCGGCCAGACAATGCTCCAGTGCCACGCCGTCGAACCATTCACCGTTTCTGTCACCATTCCACTCCTGCCACTGAAACCGGATTCTCCACCTGCTCACCTGCCCGCTCTCATCCACTCGTCTGTTCCGACGCCGCTCCACCACTGCGGCTCCTTCAGCTCACCAGCACCAGCTCCGCTCACCTTTCCCTCCCTGGATTCCCTGGCGTCCCCCCCGGTCTCCGCCTTTTGGTGTCCTCTTTTAGTTGCTCCGCTGTCTAGTTTTGGTTTCCCGGTTCCCGACTCGGTGGTGCCGAACTTGGGTCCGTGTCTTAGTTCTTTTGTTCAGCCAACCACTAATAGGTGTAGTTTGCCCTTCCTGCAAACCTCCTTGAGGTTTGTATTTATTTTTCATGCGTGTCCTGCCACCACCCACAAACCCCACTACCACTTCTCCCCCTGAACTCTCCACCGTTGACTGTAAGTCTCCCTTCTGGGGAACCCGCCAGG